CGAGGAATTGCAATCCCTTTTTTTGGTAAAAGAGAGCAATCAGTCAGTTTGCTCATTGTGCAACAATGCAATCATAAAAAATACAAGTATATTTGTTATTTATATTACTTGCCAAAACTGGGGTCATAGCTTATTTGACAATTATGTTTCTGGCAATACTTCCAAGTAGCAAAGCACTTTTCTGTGGTCTGTGTCAACAGCATTCTGGGAATGTTTCATTGCTACAACATTTTGTTATCCTTCCAAAATTTTTACTCATAGAACTTGCTTCAACTTGTATCAATAAAGTATACTTTCCCCACATCATCGATGTGTTAGGTCAAAGTTATGAACTAAAAGGCATGGTACGCTGTGCAAGTCATCATTTTACAGTGGCTATAAATAATCACACTGAATGGATATATATTGATGATTTGTGTGTGTCAGTAAGAAGTTTCACTTCAATTCAGGATCTTTTGAATAATTACCCTAATGGTTGGTTTTTTGCTGTGTTTGAAAAGTGTTCATCCACAATTGAAACTGATTTACAGCCAAATAGCCCAATTGAAGCATTTCCAAAAGACAAATACTATGAAACCATGCAGGGTGGAACTCAATCTCAGGTGCCTAATGTGTTTTTTAAATCAGGCAAATTGAGCTCTTCTTCATATCAAATTGAAGAAGAAAGTAAACAAGATGATTCATTTAATAACCAAAAAAGGACACAATCAGAAATAAAGGAAGCTGATAAGAGACTTAAGTTGGATACACAACAAAAACATCTGAAAAAATACAGAAACAAAAAATCAGATGTTACAAATGGCATAGGTAAATTAGAAGAGAGAACAAATGAAAATGAGTGCAGGTGGCAGCATAAAAAAAAATTGACTACAAATGAAACGGATAAACTAAGGAAAAGGATCAAGAACAAAGCATACATGAAAGAATATAGAAAAAAAATAACATTAAGAAACAATTGACTACAAATGAAGCAGATAAACTAAGAGAAAGGATCAAGAGCAAAGCGTACATGAAGGAATATAGAAAAAAAATAACATTAAAAAAAACTTGACTACAAATGAAGAAGATAAACTAAGAAAAAGGATCAAAAACAAACAGTATGTGAAGGATTATAGGAAAAGGACAACATTAAAAAAAATGCCTACAAATGAAGCAGACAAACTAAGAAAAAGGATTAAGAACAAAGATTACATGAAGGAATATAGAAAAAGAAAGAAAAGTGACCAAAACAACTCTGGAAGTAAAATGAAAATTGTTAATAATCAAACTACTTGTGAAGCAGGAACACAGTTCATTGAAAAAAAAACAAAACAGTGTCCTGTGGTAAGTCAAGATAAGTATCTTTCACTGTTTGATGCTAAAACATATGGACAACTTCACCATCAGGAGTGGGCAGCAATTAATATAAAGAGGTTTCATGAGTCCATGATTTTCAAAATCTGGCATTGCCGAGTTTGCCATGAAGCATGGCCATTGTCAGTAAAAAACAAAAAAGAAGCAGACTATGTTTGTTCAAGATGTGTAAGAGACAAGAACAGTATTAAAAAGTTCTCTGCTCAAAACAGCATGATACCAGCTCAAGTTCCAAAAGAATTACAAGGTCTAACCCAAATAGAAGAGATGTTAATTGCTCGTGCTTTTCCAGTAATCAGTGTTTACACAAAGCCAGGTGGACAAAGAGCTTATAAAGGTCATTGCATTAATTTCCCCCAAGATATCCAGGATCTTGCAGACACACTACCAAAATATCCCAAAGAACTCCCTATAATAGTAATAATAGTGGAAGGCAAGAATAACACTTCTAAAGATTTAGTTGTTCGAAGACAAAAAGTTTCTATGGCTCTGCAGTGGTTAGTTGATCACAATCCTGTGTACAAAAACATTAAAATTGATTATACTTGTTTGTCTTCCCTTCCAACTGAAGGAATTCCTAGTGACTTGCAAAAGGTTCATTGTACTAAAATCAGTGACGATGAAATAGATCCAGATAGAGGTCCACTTGATAGTGATGAAATACCATTCAATCATGAAACAGAGTTAAGCAGCACTGTATTAAATCCTGTTGTTTTGAAGCCACAAAAGCAGCTAATAAAAGACGAACTATTACAACACCATAAAACTGCATGGCCTAATAGGGGAAGCAAACCTTTAAATGAGTTCAAAATTCAACTACTAGCAACAATGGCTTTTCCCACTCTTTTCCCTGATGGTACAGGCGATCCAACTAATACTGCTACAAAGCGACATGCAACCTTGGGTGAAAAAGTAAAGCATTTGATAAAGTTTGCTGAAAACATCAATGGTGAATGGGTGTACAGATTTGCAAGACATCCACGATTTGGTTACTGAGCATTCAATATGATCCAAAGACACAGACTTCTTGGTCAGGGTAGTATATTTCTTAAACAAAATCCAAATGAAGCCCACCTAACTGTTGAACAACTAAAAAAAATGCTTACTACCAATAGCTATTCTTCACTTATGTCTAAGCTGATGCATT